AATGGCTGTGTCTGCCCCTTGGGCCAAGCAACATGGAGGGGAGTGGGTAGAGTAAGGAGGGGACTTTAGGAGAAGTGAAGCAGAAAGAATCTTTGTGACAATGACAACTTCAGAACTCTAGATAACCAGCCTGCTGGGTGTTTCTAAACCTTCTGAGGGGAGGTGAGTCAGTGGAGCGGTCATGTGGAAAATCCCCTTTCTCCTCAGTGCACGGCCATTCCCGTGCTAAGGTAAGCCCTCATCCCCACCAGGCCGGGATCCCATCAGGCTAGGAGAAAACACCCGTTTCTGGGAAGGAGCTGTATTTGTGTAAACTGGGAGGACTGATGGGTTGGGTCATGTCGTTCACTTGACAACTTCTGGTTTCCCAGAAGGACTCAAGTTTGTCCAATTTGCTGGCACCTCATTAGACAGAGAAAGGGCCCGATCTGGCCAGACCACAGTGCTGTGGGGACATGGGGGAGGGAGGCTGGGCTTCCCTCCGTCCACATCTGCCCAGTGTCCCCTGTGTGCTTTGGGGCAGCATTCATACTTGGAAGCTTCCAGCAGCACTCCCGCCAGCCCAGCACACCTCGGGTCCGTGGAGCCTTCCTGGGGCACCGTTCTCGGCAGGTTTGCTCGACCTCAGCCTCAGCACCTGGCAACTGTGCCCACCAACTCCGATGGGCCTGTGCATGTGCCAGCCGGGCAGCCAGCAGATACAACTGCTCTGCTTGTGTCCTCAGACCAAGGGATCGCCCGCCGTGGCACGGGCAGTCTGCCCCCTCGGCCAGCACTCCACCGAGGATGGGCTGGGGCACTCATGGCTGCTGGCGCAGGAGTCCTACCAAAGGTCTGCAATTTGGGGAGCCAAGATTCAAGATGTGCTATTTATTTTCACGCAGGCAGCTTAGTTCTTGTGACTGTTTTCTGCAGTAGATGTGGTCTGATATCGGACCCCACCTACAGAAAGGGCCACCTTATCTTCACATGGTACATCCTAGCCCAGCGCTGAGGCAGAGAGGCTAAGCCAGGCTGCAGTGTGAGGAATGTTCCAGGCACTCGCTCAGCATCACTGGAGTGGGGAAGGCTGATTCTACTGCCTTGCCCCAGTTATAACAGATCAGCCAAAGCTTCTTCAATGAGCTCTTGTCTCCTGATCTGGGGGAGCAGCATTTCCCGGGAAATGGCCACTTTCCCCTGAACATCCTTCCTGCTTTTCCAAGGCAAGCAGGGAGGCACAGCAGGTGATTGCCTCAGGAAGTTTTTGTCCCAGTGAGGATCTTCGCTAGGGCTGTTGTCTCCTACCCAAATTGGAAATGACTGCTGCCAGGTGTGTAAGAAACTCCCTGGAGGACAGAATGAGGAAGTGTGATCATTTATGTTTGATTTAGAAAACGAAGGTCCAAGTGCAGATTGGCAGCAAGAGGTCTTTCTTCTTGCCAATTTCCATCACTGAAAGGAGAGCACAATTTTTAAGATGTGACAGTTGTGGGGGGAGTGGGGACAAGGAGCATCTGGACCAACTCTGAGAGCGAAGCCTTATGAGGCAAGCTTGAGCCCTTTGACTGAGGGAGGGATTTTTGGATTTGATTCAAAAATAGGCTAACCAAACGCCCTGGTTTGCCTGGGATAGTCACGGTCTCTGCCAGCCACCCAAGTTTAATTTTCAGCGGTGCCCCCTTTCACTTTAAAAAAAGTCCAGATTTGGCTGATAAGTTCTATGATCACCCTATGCCAAAGGAGAGAGAGAGAGTGCTATGGCTGGAAATGAATCCAGAAGAGTGACAAGTAGATGGGGGATTCTGAGAAAGTTGATTTTGCTGAGCCTGAAGGAAAGAGGCAGGCAGTCGAGGCTGGCCCATTCTCAAGTGTGTTCAGAGACATAGGCTTGTTGGCCATGTCCAGGCATAGATTCAAAGAGTGTGGATGCTGGAAGGGTCTCTGGCGGGTCATCTAATTCATTTCCTCTTTCACCACAAGAGGACACTGGGCTAAAAGAGATAGAAGTGACCTGCCCAAGCTCACACCTGGGTTCCAGTAGCATGGGGACCAGCCTTGCACCTGGAGGGTCAGGCCCAGGTCCTCTGTTCTGGGAGAGAGGGAAAGGGATGGCTCTGAAAGATGCTGTGGAGGATTAATCCTGTACTTCGTGAAACATGGCCGCCTCAGAGCCAAGGGAGCCACAGGCTGTGCCGCGGATCTGAGACTGAGGAGGGAAGACGAAGACACGTGAGGTTCAGACCTGCCGGGCACGAGTGGGTGTGGGGCTGGAGCTGAGGGGTAATGGGGCTCTCCGGGGCAGTGACCGCAGAAGACCGAAGAGACTAAATGGCCAGTAGAACTAAGAACGAGTGAAGAAACAGGTACGTATGGACATGAATGGGGTCACATAAGTACTTTATAGAATTGAAATCTTTTCTTTGGTTCAAATTATAGCGAAATCGCACAAAAAGGCAAACCCTAGTGACCGCTGTCTTATCCCTTGGCATGTCTTTCCTAGCCCCTCAACACGGCTGCAGTGGTGGGAAAAGTCTAAGTCAGTAACAGCCTTGACCTCTACTTGGTAGGTGAGGAAACTGAGTCATGAGGAAGCCAGCTCCCTTCCATCTCATGGTCCTCTTAACAAATGGGGTGTGTTTAGGGACAAGCCACAAGAGCGATTCTACCAGACAAGCCACAAGAGCGATTTTGTGGTTTCACTGCAGTTTGACCTCCCATGTGGCTCTGGTGTGGTGGAGGGGGTGAGGTGGTAGACTTTTCTGTGAATCTACTCATCTGGATGGAGGTCCCAGGAAGAAGCCCAGCTTGAGGCTCCAGAGACCTGGCTTTCTGTTCCCAGTTCTGCTGTCTGCTAATTAGCGGTGTGAGGGTGGGGAGTCACTTCTCCTCTCTCTTCTACTCTTCTTGGTTGTCAGATGAAGGCTCTAGATACAACAGCACTGCATGCAAATATCATTCAAAAAAAAAAACAACCCAGCGTATTTGGTTCAGAGCTATAGTTTTTGCCTCCAACAACTTGTCACCCAACGAAGTTGAATTAAATATTGAAGTTTGTTGCAGATCATCTTCAAAGTGAAGAGCTCAGCCCAGTAAACATATAGTAGACTGTAAGCTGGTTGTAATCAAAATGATCTCCTGTCACCCTGAGCAAGTTCTCCCACATAACATCTACAAAAATCCTGCACACCATTGTCACACCCACGTAGTGCTCTCTGATACGTGACATTAGAAACCTCAATCCCCTGAAAAAAAAATCATAAAATAGTTTCAGTATATATGAACTGAGCACACATTTTGTTCAGTGAAACTTCTTTGATGATGCCTGTTCAAATACCTGCAAATATTGAGAAAACACCCACAGACATCGTCCTTGGCCACCCTGGTACATTTTGCAGAAACCAACAGGGAAGACAGAAAAGACTGGATGTCCCTGGAGATCATGCACATTCCAGGACACCTCAGGCTATCTTAACCTTCCTCTGCTACCTGCACCTGCTAGTTTCTGAGTCAATGTTCCAGAGAAGCCAGGCTGGGGCAGTAGGAGAGTCAGCAGGAAGGTGAGAAACTGAGAGGAGAAGCAGGATTTGGTGGCAACTCCTTCCACCCTCTTGCTAGAGACGTAGAGAAGCTCAGAGTCACTGAGGCATCCCACGTCCCCAGCAGTACCAAGCAGCACACAGGAGTGTGTTTGGCACACAGAAGCAACACTAGACAGAATAGGAAAGAAGGGCTAAGAGGTTCTGTGCTCTTGTCACCTTGAATAGTGACCGGGGGTCAAGCAGTGAGTGTCTGGGGCCCAAGAGCCGCTTCAAGGCCACAGAAATACAGCCTGTACCTGGGAGGAAAGGTCCTTGGGGAATAGGTGTCAGGTCAGGAGACTGAGAACTAACTGTAAAAAACCTCAAAATACTGAGAAAAGCTCGTGTGCATGACTTGAAGTCGTTCAAAGTCGTTGTAGCATACCCAGGACTCTGGTGGAGCAGGTCTCCCAGACAAATCCATCATTCGGTATCAGCACTTCTTTATTATAAAATTAACGTCACTGAAAGCTTCGAAAAAAATAAGACAGACCAAAAATATCACACCTTAGGCAAATGAGTTGGAAATCCCTTATAGTGACGCCCTATTTTTTCCACCCATCTCTAAAGTTGGAGGACACCTGGTACGGTGTTTAGGTAAGAGATACAGCTCCTGGACCACACGGTTTCCTGATGGTACAGAATTGAAATGACGTCATGGAAATGCATATGTCTCAAGGTCACTCTAAGTATGGTTTCTAGGTGAAAACATGAGTCTTAGTCATTGGTGGAAAGGTGTTTGTGTGCCTTCGTGACCTGCTGGTATCCATCGCTCTCTGCCTTCCAAGGCAAAGTTTTCATTAAATTCATTCAGGCTACCGGCCAAGTTTTCTCATACTTTGGGCTCACCTGGAGGTATAACCTAAATGTAGGTTATACCACACCTGTGCCCCTTTGTCATTCAGAAGGAAATAAAACAACTGCTACCCAGAAAGAGCGAAGTTTGTCTTCCACTCAAGGGCAAGGGATCTATGACATAAGATGCCCACTCCAGTGGTTAATCTGAACAGTCTCATTTGTGTAGTGTTCCCCACGGTGACGAAAGCGAGGATGTGGCAGACACAGAACGTATGGAATCCTTTGTCTTAATTAAAAAGTACAGCAAGAGTCATGGAATTTGGCCAAGCCTCATAAATCTGCTCAAAGAATCAAGATTCTGTCAGATAAGCTTAAATAGAACCAACGAGGCCCTCTGGAGAATTAAAGAGATTCCCTGCTAGTAGCTGACACCCACTCTCCTGTCACTTTGCTGCACCCCACGGACGGCGGTTGTGCTCATTAACCAGCAACCCTCCTACCCGCCGATGACAAGTATATCCCCGCGGAGCCCAGAACTCAGGGATGATAAATTTACTCCTGCTCGTAAAAATGAAACTCTCCTCAGGGCAATAAAAGTGCGGCAAGCCTTTAAGGAAATCAGTACTTTGTCTGGTAACCTACCTTCATGAACAAAGACTGGTCCTCTTGGTCAGGACAGCTCCTCACTGCCAGGCAGAACTGCTCTAACGTAACTGGAAGGGAAGAAACAGGAAAGGTGAATGACCTCCCTTCTGCCCCCGAGCTCCTCTGGTGTGGAGAGGAACATGGTAGTTATAACAGAAACAGGGGGCATGCTACTCCCCATCTTTCCCTGGTGATGGGATAGATAGTGCTCTCCCTGTCCCCGGAGTGGGTGACTTCTGCACCACTGCGAGCTGGGATGACAACATCAGAGCACAGGGTCATGCCCATCAACAGAACTCTATCCTAGACCTCCAGGAGGTCCTGCGTTCTGCCACCAATGACCAGCTGGTCCCCCGAAGACCACACCAAATCCCTGTTTCATGTGATCTCCATTTAGAGAACCACCTGCTTTTGTAAATTTGGCTGTGGTAGATTTTCTGTCTCAGTCTTCTGTCGTGATTCCCATGAATTTAAGGCCTCTCTTGGTGTGAACATGATAATGGTCCCCAGTGTTGACTCAAGCAAATCCCCCAAACTCCCCTACGTATTTCAAGTCACGTTTCCCCAACCATCCTTCTCCAACAGAATGGCAGAGAGAAACTCAGGAAAGCTCACAAAAACAGAAAACAAAAACCTTTTAACGATCCATTTAAGTTGGCCATGAAAGCTCCAGGAATATTAATTTAGACAATTTACAGAAATCACATTCCCTTTCTCTGTCACGGTGGCCTGGCTCCCATCAAAAGCCCACACAAGTGGGCACCCCCTTTTTATTTTGGTCAAACAAAACACCAAACCACACACTGCCTTCCCTGCACACTGTTTTGACTATATTACTTCACTTTTAAAAATGCTCCCATGAGTCCCTACCACCCTCAGATTTAAATCTACTTGTTTTGACAGGCATTAAGGGTTTAACTTAGTCAACCATCTAGATGAGCCTATTATTTCTAGACTCAGAGCAGTGTTCACTCTCTACCTGCCATAACCTTTCACCACCGTCTGCTGGGCACAGTCCCACCACTTGCGTTGGAGCAGAGCAAAGCCCAGCCCTCCACCGGAACCTTGCAGGCCTGCCATCCAACCGTTCAAAGTCACTGACCACCTCTGGGGTCCAGCCCAACCTCCACAGAGTCCACAAAAGTGGGCAGAGCTACACCCAGCCTCATGACTGAGGGAAGGCCTCATTCCATTGTTCTGACCCCAAGGATGTCTGGATGTCATGTTTACAAAGACAGATATTTTGAAGAGAATTATATCATCAAGAACGAATTTTCATCAAGCGTTGTCTGGGTAATTTTTTTGTGTTGTGTTCAATGTTACCTAATTACTTAACCTAATGTTAGGTAATTACCTAACCTGATGTTACCTAAACACAAATCTTTAGACAGTTTCTATCTATGACTAAATCACTCTATGCAGTTTTAACTCTTATCAGTTGTATCTTGTGCTGATGATTTTTTCCACATCTAAATGTTTGCTCTGATCCAGTCAAAGTGTGCTCAGAACCTAGAGAGGGGTCAGGGTTGCCTGCTTTACATATATATGCCCGCCCCAGTCATCAACGGGCTAAAACAAATAGTAATTACATAGAATCTTAAATTATTTTAAACAATCAAAAAATTTTACAAGAGTTAAGAGTTGAAATACAATACTTTCCCCATAAAAGGAGCTCAAGAGAAACTCAGCTCGAGATAAGAACCCGGGCTAGGCTGAGTTCATACGAATGCTTTTGCTCTCACAGATTCAAAACACCCCCCACCGCCATGGAAGACTCTGGAAGCAACAACCCCTCTCCCTGAACATTGTCATCGGCTCTGTTTTGGTGTGACAAAATATTGAACTCTATTGTCTGAGGATGAATCAAGAATAATCTACAAATTCAGGTGCTAGGTTTTCTTTAGACAACCTTTTTTGAAGGTGGCTATTTCATTTGGTAAAGGTTTATGCTGTGACTTGGAATCTTCCTGAGCACAGGCCATTGGAATCTAAACCCTTGCTACTTGCTGCCTTGGGGGGCTCCTGGATTCTCGCCCTCACCTCTCCTCCTCTGTGGTGACCCCAGTGCCATACCTCCAACTGTCTATGGCTGGACTCCACTGTGACACTTAGTTGTTCATAAGACGTGGCAACCAGGCAGGACAGCTGTTTCTTTGAACCAGTGGACTTCCATGCCCCGCCAACCCTTCCCTGAATTTTCCCATTTCTGTGGTACTGTCATCCACCAGCCAGTAGGCCCAGATCTCTGATTCTTCCTTCCCGTCACTGAGCCTCCTAATGCTTCTTGCACAACGTCTCCCCGATGCACCCCTTTCCCACGGCCCAGGTGCCACTTTGACACTGCATAATGCTTCTGCCTCGCTCCCCAACCTGGATGCCCCGCCCCCCTCTCCTGGCCCTGTGCCCACTGCTGCGCCCACGGGAAAACTCGCACTGCCAGGGCTCTGCCCGCACCTCCTCCCCTCTGCGTCTCAGCCCCTCTTCCCTGGTGCAACCCCTGCCCCCCGCCCCCCGCCGCCAGCTCCTCGCTATCATTAATCCACAGTTGGGTTCCTGGCCACACGATCCACTCTGTCTTCTTCCCATCTGCTCAAATCCTACCCTTCTGGGCCCAGCCAGTCAAGGCAAAGTCAGACAGACCTCACGCGTGGTCTTTACTGCCACTCCCAGCCACATGTCCTTGGACGAACTACATGCTCTCCCTGAGCCTCAGTTTCCTATAGTCACCTGTGGAGACCAGCGCCTGCCTTGTGGAGGTGGTGTGAGGGCGAAAGGAGTGGCCAGAGGCCAAGGCACAGTGTCAGGCACGGCATTGGCCCCCCCACTCTGCACCTCGGAGAAGCTTTCTCTTTCCCCATCACACGGACTTCTTCCCCGCTTCATACCTTGATGGGACACATTACACGCTGGCTTCTTCTCTTTAAATTGTTTTTTGGCTGATAGGTGCACACGCTGCCTTGTCTGAGGAATGAGCCTCCAGAGACAGCCTTGTGACTTTTCCCGAACTCTGGTCTATCCCTGTCGTGTCCAACGTGCCCAAAGTCGCCACCCAGTTTTGTGGAACTGGACTGAAGGGCCCCGTGGGAACACAGGGCCCCACAGACGGAGCTTGCCCCTAACTGGCTGGCTTGAGTTCGTGAGGCCCGCACCTGTCACCCTGTCTACACAAGCAACAAGAGCCAACCTTGGCCACAGGGCACCAACAGAAGCAGAGCACACGGATTGCCCAGTTGTTTTCCCCAAGCCTTAGATGTCAGTGGGACGTACGTTCTCGTGCCAGCAGCGGGCCTACCACTCCCCTCGCCCCACTCTGATTGCTACCAAATCCCCAAAGAAGGGAGAGGGCATAGACACAGCCAGGTCCTCTCCGCCAGGCCTGTGTGGCCACCGCACCCAGGCTACCTAACTCACCGACAAGGCCTGCTCAGAAGCATCTCGACAAGGTTCACATTTCATTCCCCTCCCGCTCCCCTCCCCGACTTTCAAATAAGAAAAAAAAAACCAAACCAAACCCTCTAAAAATGAAAGCATCTGTGGTATCTACCTTCCTCTACCCCTGCTGCTGATTCAACGGGGGCTGACTGCCTGGTGAGAATAAGGCCGGCAGCCAGACTCAAGGCTCATGGTCGCGGTGCGAGTCTCCTTCTAAGACTCTGGGTGAAATGTTTTGGATTCGACATCTATTGTTTAAACTGCTCTTCAGTGTCCCCAGTGCAGTTCCAGCAGTGGGTGGCGGGGGGGGGGGGGCTTCCACCTGTCTGAGGACAGTCAAGTTCCCTTGGTTCAACCCTTCCACTCAGTGTGACAGAGATCGGCCTGACAATAGCGGGAGAACAACAGATTTTGAGATAACAAGTCGCTTTGAGGTGGGGGCGGGGGGAGCCGAGAAAAAGTGACCCGATTGAAGTAAGAAAATGAAGTAAGTTAGAAATTCAAGTAAGGAAATGAAGTAAGAAAATGGTAGTTTGGGAGACAAAACTTACAGGCCAGCATGAAATACTTCTGTCTCCCCTTGTGAATATGGGCTGCCGTGGGTTCGTAGGTGAGTCCAACAGCCTTACCCGTGCAGCCATTTCTGGAAAGGTAGATAGGACTTTGCAACACGGGAGATCCCTAAAACAAGGAAATGGTTGTACCTAGAATATCTTTCATTATGACATGTTGATGCAAATAAGGGGGGAAAGTAAGACAAACCAAATGCACAATAGCATTAAACTTATGTTTCCCTTTGAAGTATGGCTGTAAGATTGAGGAACTCCTGCTAAGTTAACAGGCACAGTGACCTTAAAGATAACATCAGGGGCTGTATTGCTCAGAAATCCTGTCTCGGAATATTCTTTCAGCTTCTCTCTCAATCCCCATGACAGGGTCCTGGAGAACTGGGGTCCTGCCCCAGGTGCCAAGCTTTAAAGAGACTTGCTCGGCCATCCCTCTGTCTGCAGCCTTCCCCATGGGGCAATGGGGGAGTAACTGCCTGGAGTCCACACCCCACTTCTCCAGGTACCCAGGATCCTGGGTTTATAGCTTGAGTCTCTTCCCTGGGACTGTGTGTGTGTGTATCCCTAAACTCATGGGGTGGCCAAGGGGCAGCTGTTGCCAGGGTTGGAGACAGACCTGGGGCTTCTAGATTGGAGGATCCACAGAGTGTGGGATGGATCTGGGGGTGGGAATAGTCAGGGATCTGCAGGGGGGATGCTTCTCCCGATGCTGCTGAGTTCCCAAAACTTCCCAGAGTGTGAGAATTGTAGACTGGAGCCTGGCCTTCTGGATGAATGAAGCTACATTTGTTCAGGCAGGAGGACAGAGTATATTTTCTTCAACACTTTGTCAGCTTGTTTTATACACTTCCCCTGGGCCCCACACGGAGCAGGGCAGGCTTGGAGAACGAAGACCTGATGCTAAAACACAGGCTCATCCAAACCTCTTCAAAGCCAGGTGCTTCCATCTATCTCTGGAAAGAGGACACCGGTCCCAGCTGCGTCTCTCATCTGGCAGGAGAAGGAGGCTTTCACAATGAAGGAAACCAGCCTCTTCTTAGGGGCCACAGAAATATGGAGGCTGACATCTA